TTATGTAATAGCAAAAGTATGTGTAGCAGTAGCAGGTGTATTAGACATAATACTACTACTATTAGGCAGTTTTAGTAGTAGTGGTGGTGGTGGCAGAGAGAGAGAGAGAGAGAGAGAGAGAGAGAGAGAGAGAAAGGGAGAGGGAGAGAGAGAGAGACAGAGAGAGAGAAAAAGAGAGGGGGAGGCAGAGATGCAGAGAGAGAAATAGAGTGAGAGAGACATACATAGACAAACAAACAGACATACAGACAGAAAGGCAGGCAGACAGGCGGACAGACAGAAACAGACAGAGACAGATACAGATACACAAAAACACCAACACACAGACACACACACTCACACAGACATACAGACAGACAGAAGCAGATACAAACAAGTTTAAAGTCAGTCAGAAATAATTAAGGATCTACTTTCAACATTAATATTTCCAGTTAAACTTGGTGTGTGAGCGGGATGGGGTTCGAACCCACCAATCCATGATGATGCTGATGGGTCTGTTGGTGGGGTCCCTCATCTGTACGCCGCTGGCAGACTGGTAAGTCAGATAGTTGGGATCACGTAGCGAGTGAGCGGGTCATATTATGTTTGAGAATACATGTATATAATATTATGTGTTGTTGGAAAAATGGTTGTTGTTGTTGTATCGGTTACTGTTGTTGTTGTGGTTACTGCTGCTGCTGTTGTTGTTGTTGTTATTGTTGTCGTTGTTGTTGTGGTTGTTGTTGTTGCTGTTGTTGTTGTTGTGGCTGATGTTGCGGATGTTGTTGTAAGTTTTATTGTTGTTGTTGTTGTGGGTGATGTTGTGGTTGTTGTTGTAATTGTTATTGTTGTTAATACGGTGGTGGTTGTGTGTTTGTTGTAGTCTGTGTTATTATTGTCGATTTTACAGTCCATTGTAAAGGATGTTTTTCTGTAATTACGATTGTTGATTTTTAACTTTCGCTGTTGATATTACTGGCTTTCTATATATCCACCTGTTGTTGTTGTTGTTGTTGTTGTTGTTATTGTTGTCGTTGTCGTTGTTGTGGTTGTTGTTGTTGCTGTTGTTGTTGTTGTGGCTGATGTTGTGGTTGTTGTTGTAATTGTTATTGTTGTTAATACGGTGGTGGTTGTGTGTTTGTTGTAGTTTGTGTTATTATTGTCGTTTTTACAGTCCATTGTAAAGGATGTTTTTCTGTAATTGCGATTGTTGGGTTTTAGCTTTCGCTGTTGATATTACTGGCTTTCTATATATCCACCTGTTTTTTCCCTTTTTTTCTCTCCCATTCTTTCTTATTCACTTTCCCTTTTTTCTATCTCTTTCCCCTCTCCTTCTTTGTCTACCTTTTTGTCTATCTCTACACCACACTTACAAATCTCTAGTTTTCTCTCACTGAGGTTACTGTTTAAGCTACTGTCCATATAGTCACCATAGGTGTCGCAGATATAAGATTAGAATATTTTCCTTCACTAGGAAAATCAGTGGGATGACCCCAATATTTTTTAAATTGTAAAAATATATATAAAAATACAAAAATACCACCCAACCCGCTCTCGCTTCGCTCATTTCATCTCCCTTCCTCAAACAATTTCCCCCCACTTTTATCCTCCACTTGTGGTTTGCTCCTTAATTCCTATCAAACATCTATCGTCCTTATCTGTCCTTCTTCTTTTCTTTGTGTGTTTCCATCTAGTAGAACCTATATTCTTGGGCACCTATAGGACCCATGCGTGTTGTGAGTGCCATAGAACTGACTACAAAGAAAGGAAAGAGAAGAAAAGAAAGGAGAAAAAAAGACCCCCCCAAAAAAGAAAAGACACAAAAATGAAGAAAAGACACACAAAAAAGAAAAAAAAGAAAAAAAGTGATGGAAAAAAAAGAACTGTAGAAAATGATGAAGAAATAAACAGGAATCTTCCACTCCCACCCTTTTACCGTCATGATAATTTATGACTTTGCTCAGGATCGGACGAAAGAAGGTTCTGATTGTCTGTGGCCTGCTCCAGATGGTCCTGGGCTTCTGTTTCGTCTTCATCACCAGCGTATCCTGGCTCCTGGGTCTGCGCTTCCTCATCGCTATCACAGGATTGGGGACATTTTTCGCGGGCTTCGTGCTGTGTGAGTTGTTGGTGATGTATGTCTGTTTGGTTATGTGTGTCTCTGTTTGTGTGGCCGGTTGTCTGTCTGTTAATTTGGTTGTTGTTGTTTTGGGGTTTTTTTCATTCAGACCGCACAGAGGGAGAAAAAGCTGTGTCTTTTTTCTGGTTACGGGGGTAGATGAAAAAGAGAAAGAGAACCTTTGAGAAAAGGAGAAAGATTGAGAGAGAGGTAGAGAGAGTAAGTGTGTGTGTGTGTGTGTGTGT